AATCTCGAAATACCTAAAGTGAAAGTTGAGTCTGGTAGCTACTTCAAAATGAATTTTCAAACCAGATTTTCAAACTATCTCACAGATCCCTCGCCTGAAGCACTTGTAACATGTTAAAGCCAACAATCAGTAATATTCCGTAGAATTCTTAGGATTTTCATGCAAGAGGAATAAGGACTGGTTAAAGCAACGAAGAGATCCAGAATTTACTGACAAAAAAGAGATCTGCTTACCAAACACATCTTGCTGAGCCATTATGTAAGAAAAGCCACCTTTCGCCTTGCATGCAGCAAGCTCCCACAGAAATTCCAAGACAATCAAAACAAATGGTGGATAAACCTAACAGAAAATATTCAACTGTGCGCAGATTCGGGTAACCACAGAAGATTCTACGAGACTCTAAAAGCTGTGTATTGACCGCAAACCCGCTCAAAGCTCCCTATCTCATCGTAGATGACTAAACGCGTCTTACTGATAAAAACCTCTATCTTGAACCAATGGTTTGAACATTACCAGACTTTCTTCAGTGCCAAACTTGCAATTCGAGGCTCAGTAATTCAGCACATTGCATAACAACCGGTAAAGAGCGAATTGGATATTGCCCTCACTACGGCAAAGACGTTCAAGGCCATACAGGCCTAGATAAAAACTGGCAAGGCAGTTCGAGTTGATAGTATCCTATCAGGTCTGGAAACACAGAGGGTAAGGACTCCCCGCTAGGTTTCACGAGTTCGTTCTGAGATATTAGGAAAAAGACAAACTTCCACCAGACTTTGTGATGCAATCATTACCAGCCTTCACAAAGAGAAAAGTGAAATCAGACCATTCAAATTACTGAAGTATTACCCTGTTTTCTACTGCTGATAAAATTCTTGCAAGGACACTTCTACACAGATTAGCACCCGCTATATCAGAAAAAGTTCCACCTGAAAGCTAATGTTGCTTTAGAGCAAATAAGGGTACCATAGACATTTGTTCCCCGACAACTGCAAAAGAAATGTAGGGAAAAGAACAAAGGTCTACATGACCCTTGTAGACCCCACTAAAGCTTTGACACTGTGAGCAGAAAAAATCCTATGGCAGATCTTGGAACGGTTAGGGTGCCCTCTCAACTTTTTGAAAATAATCACGCTATTACATGAAAATCAACGAGGCCAAGTCAAATATGGCGGTGCAATCTCAGAACCTTTCTCAACAATCAGTGGAGTGAAACAAGGTTGCGTTCTTGCACCAACTCTCTTCACAGTCTATTTGAGCATGATGCTCCAAAGCCATGGCAAATTTGGATAACGAAAATAGCATCCACATTCGATATCGTACCGAAGCCGTCGGCTTCAAATTACCACGTCCGTGAACTACTTTTTGCCGACGATGCTGCCCTCGTCGCTCACGCAGAAGAATTCTGCAGCGCTTAACATCTTGTTTTGCAGAGGCCTGCAGAACTCCTTGGGTTAGAAGTAAGCTTGAAGGATCAAAAGTTCTCTACCAGCCTGCGCGCCACAGGACAATCATTTTCATCCTCATCACCATAGGCGAATCAGAGCTTAAATCAGTCCAGCACTTCAGCTATTTAGGTAACATCATTTCTTCCGACTCAAGATTAACAAGGAGATTGACAGCAGGATACAGAGCTTTCAGAAAACTTCATGAAAGAGTCTGGTGCAATAAAGCCATGAAGAGAAATAACAAGATTAGTGTTTATAAAGCTATTGTACTGTTCATTCTATTATATGTTCTGAATCATGGATCAATCTACCGCCACTATTTGTGATTCCTCAAACAGTTTCACCAGCGTTGCCTCCTACAATCCTAAACATGCACTGGTATCGAATGTTACTGTTTTCATACAGGCATATGTCACCAATATTGAGGTTATACTACTGAAGACATAGTTGTGTTGGATTGGGCACATCTCCAGGATGGAAGATCAGGTTGTGCTCTATGGGGAATTGGCCAGCAGCTTCCGCAAAAAAAGATCTAGAAGGATGAAATGTAAGGATACCCTGAAACAATATACCTCAGTCTTGGCCATATAGACTACCATCAATGGTCCATTCTGGCATCGAATCAGGAAGCGTGAAGACACATCATCCATAACGCTGTTGTTGCTACCTTCGAGAACATTCGCAGAACCAGTCTTGCAGACAAACGACAACGCAAAAAAAAAAAAAACCGCACCTTATCAATACCGCCTAAGCAGACCTTTCACTAAACTTTTTGCATCCGAACTTGCCTATCCTACATTGGTCTTCTTAACCATCAGCGCCCCTACAGCAAGCGTGCGTGTAGCCTTATACATATCTTATGTTCGGAAAGCCCAGCCACCACGACTTTACTACCGAATGCGACGGGTATTGACTTTATAGAACTCCCGAAAAGGACCGTTGTTTTTCATTGTTTTACAATATTTTTGAAAAGGAAAATTATAAGCACCAGGAAATATGAGATGCCTTTTAAAAGTACTAACCTCAAAAAGCGCAAAACTACTGCGAATAATAAATGCCGCCGATTTTTTAAATTTTGTCTGTAAGTTATCCAATAAATTGAGCAATGATGATTCTTTATAGTTCACCACAATTTCATCGAGATCAGATGAAATCACGTATTTTGCATAACCACGACTTCGTAGAAGACAGTCATTGATCGAAGTGGCTACCTGAAGAGTAACAAAAATTGTAGGATTGGATTTAATCTACTTGATCAATAAAGGTATTGATGAAGTATTTATGAGAAAGGTTGTTTTTTGTTTACATTCAACAGTAGTCCATTAAAGCAGCAAAGCCTTATCTTATATTTGAGGTTTTACAATAAATTTTATTTGCATGAGTCATGGTTTGAAAAGAAAAAAAAAAAACACCAATTTGTGCCAAAAAGCGCCAAGATTTTTTAACTTTTCTATGAAAGCATTAATAATTATTATCCTCAATTAGAGGAATGCATGCTGTGACATTGCTTATTGCTTAGTTTGTTGTGAAGCGATACATATTTAGCGACAAATGACAATTTGCATATTTGGAAAAGAAATGAATGAATAGAAAAATGCTGTTATGGAGCGTTTTTCTGTTCAGGATTGGAGCACTTTCTTTATCGTTTTGTTTATTTGCTGAATAGAAAGAGCTCCGATTGTTTTTATTAAATTCACACCTAATTTGCTGCAATTTCCACTCAAATTGCATAGGTGACATTTAAATTGTACTGTTAATATCTGTGCGGCGGTTAAATCGTAGCAGCAAATCTTTTTCCGGTATAGTTTTAAGCAATTCAAAATTCTGAAATAATGTTCAAAAGTTTTAAAAAATCAATTGTTATACGTAATCATTATTGAAAATATATGTTTATTATTTTTTTCATAATAAAAATAATAAATTATTTTGTCAAATTTATTTTAATCCTGAAATTTTGGAAATTCACACCTCAGTTCTGTAAATTCGTAAATTCGGATCATCATTTTCATATGTAGCACTATCATCAGCTGGTAATGGTGCCCAATTAATTCGTTCAATTTCTACATCTTTTGAATGCTCATAAACATGTAGTAATGCATCAACTTCAGGTGTCATCGATTGCACATAAACGCAAAATTTTGTAACACCTTGTGCAATCCAAATCTGTAAATAATATATTCTAGCAAGAGAATGGTTGTTATATTTTCATTAGAATAGAATGGTTTAATTTATAAAAATGAATTAAAAATAGCAAATTTTTTAATTAGTACAATTTCAAATTAGAAAGATATTAATTAAAACTGTATTATCCAAACTTACCTCAAAAAATTGTACAAGTAAAGTCCAATCAGCTAATAGGAAAATTGGTTGCAAGCAGACAGCAAGATGATGTTTACGTGATTGATTTGACATTACACGTGCATCCTGTAGCGCAACTGGTACTTTTAATGAAGGTTTATCCATTCGTGATATGTAAGCTTTAGGTAATATTTTATTATCTGATATGAATAATTGTTTCATATCTTTTCGATGCATTGTTGTCGCAAAATAACCAACAAAATCACATCTAAATAAAGATTCAAATTACTTATGATAATGTAATGTTAACATTAATTAATACAGATAAAATGATAAAAGATAAAAAAAGAAAAGACAAAAACTGACTTGATAGCGTAGAACCATGGACATTCAAGGATTGGCTCATGAATTAGAGGAATAGTAAGAAATTTGGTCTCATTTATTTTCAAATGAAAACGAAGCCTAATCTTCGTTTTACACTTACGAATTGTCGTTAATCTTATCTTTGAGGACGAGATTAAATAAGCTGCCATTATATATGTCTGCAAAATGTAAGCATTTGAAAAGATGGAAAAAATTTTTTAGAAAATTTTCAATGTTACAATATATCATGATTAAAAACTATTCCAATGTGATATGATAAATACATTCTTTTTTTTTTTTATTCATAGATCAATCAATTTAACTTACCAACTATTTATCTCTTCCATTATTGTTATTTTTAAGCATATTTTTCTTATCGAAATTTAAAAGTTTATTTATTATTATTAACCGTTATGGTTCGGTTAAAATAAAAAAAGTCAAAATGGTCATTGGTCAGGAAAAAGTTTGAAAATCACTACTCTTCGGCGATTGTTTATGATAAAATTTTAAGCACTAATGGCTAAAAATGCGCTTGTAAAACTCATACCTTATCATCATAATCAGAAAATCTTTCGGTAGTAATAGTAGTAATGGTAGTAGTACTAGTAGTAGTATTAGTAATAGTAGTAATGGTAGTATTGGATGTAGTAGTAGTGAAAATTGTGTCAGATGAAGGTTTTCGAATAACTTGTTCAATTTTCCATAAATTTATTGCAGTGGAAATATAAGTAAATGAAGACATAAATATTGTTGTAAGACAACTGAGGAACAGTACGGCAAAGAGACGTTTTAATGCCATAGCCTAAAAGGTAAAATTACTAATTATTAAGGTTAATGATTAACCTATAACATAATTATCGATATATCGCAAATACATTATTAATTGTTCAATTAACACAGATAAATTAACAACCGAAACCATTTCAGAGGGATTAAAGGTTATCAAAGCATTATTATCTTTTGTTAACGAAAGTTATTTTGTTCGAAAACTGGAAACTTTGCCATTTTTAGCAAAAATATCAAATCATCCAGTTTTTATAAAGTTTATTTTTCTCACTCCAAACATAAAATACTTATAGAATATATTAAGAGTAAATGAGAAAATGATAAGTGTAACATTTTCAATTCCTCAAAATAATCCTACCATTAATAAATTAATTAAGATATTTAAAAAATTGTATTAAGGAAACAATTATGTGTAATATAGGCTCGACAATATCGCATCAATCAAAAGTTAATCTTTTGAACTAATGTCACGGTTCACCTGTCAAATGTCATCATTACACATTAATTATGCCATAAAGTGAATGAAAAAAAAAAAAAAGCCCTACATAAGCGAGTGAATATTTGGAAATGATGCGGAAAAATCGAGAAAACCAAAAAAGAAATGAATAGAACATTCGAATCGGATATGATAGCGATCAAGATGTGACAATGGTCACTTCATGGTCAGAAAGCATTAATAGCAATGTGATATTTTTAATCCTTAAATGGTAGTTCAGTTTTTCTTTTTTTTTTTTCAATTTGTTTTTAACCTTTTTAAATAATAGTTCAATTCGATAGCAAAAACCAATGAAAAAAATGTGACATAAAGAGAAAGGAATTTTGAAAAGGAAAAAGGAATTTTGGTTATTTTCAACAAATTAGATCGTATGATAGAAATAAATGAAAAGAAAAAATATGGGAAATTACATACGGAGCGGACTATAAGCGAATTATATGAAATACTGTAAAGGATAGAAAGTTCTTACCATACTGATAATCCCATCAAAGCATACGTACTATAAGAATGTCACGTTCAAATGACAGAAATATTAAATACATCAAGATTTTGCAAACAGTAATTCCGGAATGGAATAAGATAATTTGAAAAATGTTTTCATGTACAATATAAAATTCCGGTAAATAATCGTTTTCAAATTCATCGTTAATAATATTATAGAATTTTAATTTGTAATCAAAAAGCGTTAATATCTAACAAACTTTGCTTAAAACTACGCAATATTTACTGAAATGCTTCATTAATTTAGAAAGAACAATTAAATTAGCTTTTTAGTTTTTTTTTTTAAATTTAGCTTTTTTTTAAATTACCTTTTTTTTTCAAATTAGCTTTTCAGAATATTTCGTCATCACATTTTTACCTTCCATAAAATATTCCTAATAGCAATATTAGTAATCATGTAAGAATATTTATTATGAAATACCAAGTATTCCTATTTTGCAGCCTACGGAAAAATCACGTTTACACACATACACTCCGAAGATTGTCAACATAATTGTCAACTGTTCGTAATTAGTGAACGATTTAAAAAAATGACAACTAGTATCCAGTTATAGTTATATGATCACAGTTAGACATAATTCTCAATGATTGAATAAATAACTATTAAGATTTATTAATTATTAGCTAAATTATTCAATTTAATTGGCAAATTATATTCAATGAAAAAGCCGCTTTTCGTTGTCACAAAACAATAAAAAAGACAAAAGAATCTATGATGCGTCAACTACTGTTCTTTCTTCCGCCAACAGGTTCACTGAATCAAATTACATAAATCTTATCACTCATACTGTTTTGTTAAGAAGTTTGGAGACAATCATTTGCAATTATGAAAGATTGGATAATTTTCAAAACTTTCCTTTCTATTATCATTATATTCCGGTAGGAATGATATTAATTTTTATTCCTAAATTAAAAAAAAAAAAAGAAAATTAAAAATTCGTAAAAATGATTATCACATTCTTCTGGATCTATTTTTTTTTTTTTTTGTTTTGTTAATTTAAATTTTATTGAAAGAATATGATAACAATAACACAGTTTATATGTAAATATTGTTGTATGTTATCATCGATAGATATTAAATCAGATGAAATTGAAAACAAAAAGCATGACAAATTCAATGTTTAAACACATTGGTTAATCTTTGTACCCATGATAAACTGTTTAATTTCATATATTCGATCGTATTTATTTGATTTTTGTTTAAATTTAGAAAACATGTATTGCCTGAAATTGTCAACTGATATATGTGACATTGAAAATTTTCTTTACCAAGAAAAATTGTACATTGCAAGATTAAGGCATTGAAATTTTGACGATAGCAAATTATTTTACAAAAAAAAAAATTTTAATATAGCAGTAAAATTTTTGCTATTCAAACATAATCATTAAGGTATTAATGAAGAGGACAGTTTTATTATCGATCATAAGTGCAAGATGAAAAAGCAAACTTATGATTGCATTTTTGCGCTTTTCATTTTACCTTTTTATTTTCGATAAAATATGCTAATTTATTAGGAAAGTATATTCATCAGAATATCTTCCTCGTTATGCTATGGCTTGTAAAGGTGTGCAAACAAGCTAAGCTTAAAATCACTGTTATTAATTGCTAATAGTATTGATCAGTAGAAAGGAGAAAAAAGTCATTGTTTATATTTCAGGGCAAAGTGTCATGTGTCACGTTGTTCAAAGTATCATATATCATTCTTTTCCAATGTAGGATTACTAGAGAAATGTAAATGAATTTTGAAAAAAGATGTATACCGGATTTTAATCATTTAAATTTGTCTCATCGTTTCACTTAAATTTGTTAAAACTAATTACCTATAAGTTTGATTAACGTATTGAAAAAATATATTTTATTTTAGAAAAAAAAAAATAATTTATCGTACTTATTATCAATAGGCATTTTAAGGTAGAGACAATAAAATTCGCTTTACTTTACATATTTCCTTTTTTTTTTTTTTTATTTTTTTAATTACTTTGAATCCATTTTCCTACTTATAAATTTATTCAAATTTTTAAATTTACTTATAAATTTATTTCAATTTATTCATAAATTACAATTATAATTAAGAAGGAAAAATGTAATTAAGATAATATTAGGGAAAAAAGTTAATTAGAGAAAAGTAAAATTAACAACTAAAAAACAAAAATTCCATCCATTTACTAGAATACGATAAACATCAGCGCCGCCTAACTTTAACATAACTTTTTATTTAACGATAGCTAAAATCATACACAAGCACCTGCTACAACATTGAACTTTAAGCAATCACAAATGACAAAAATACATTTACAAACATAAACAAAAAAAAAAAAGACTCTAAGTGATAAGGAAAAAGATAATAAAAAAATACCGTAAGATTGGAAGAAAAAAAAAAATGATTAAAAATCAAATTACAAAAAAAAAAATAAAATAAATTATTGTGAAATACCAAGAAAAAAAAAAAACAAAAAACAAAAACAAAAGTAATAAAAGTAAAGCAATT